TAAAACGTGAACAGCAGCAGCCGCAGCGAAAACATGGCGATGCCCGTGAGTGCGGCTCGTGTCTGTCGCCTGGCAAGACGTACTGTTTCCTCCCTGTCAGCCGGACACAGGCGGGCTGTCAACCTGCCAGCGAGGACCTGCTTCATCTCCACATCCACGGCCAGCAGTGAGTTAATGTAGTGGTTAAATAAAGGTTAGCTTTTGAGCCCGCCCCCTCAGAGGTCAGTGTCTCAACAGGCGTAACCTGACAGCTAATGGGTTATGTTTGTTAGTGTGGTTGGATTCTCCGTTATGGCCTATCTTTTCTGCAGTAGTAAGGGCTGTAAGTGGTCATAAAATCCGAATAAATTTATATTTAAAGCAAAAACAAAGAAAGCTGTGCGGATACGCCTGACTGATGTTTTCACACGGAGCCGTAGCTGTCTTTGTACCTTGAAATTCACGCCCATTGGGACTAAAATTTTAATAAACATAGACCATAGTATGTGTGCACAGTGTTGAAGTAATAGAAGTTTAAACTGAAATAAAAAGCAGCGAAACAAGTACTGTCCGAAAATAGGTGCATTAAACTCCTGCCTTCAAATGTGTGCAGAGTTAATGTGCTGCTGCTCCTGTTTTTCTGAGTAAATGTACCTTTAAATGAGCAGTTTTATTACTTTTCTAATGTCCATTGCATTTAGAAAACACTTGAGCACCTGTGTATACTAAGATATACTGTAGTCAATTTAGTAATTGTACGATAATGTACAACAGACCGATGGGCTTAAACCTGGGAGAAAAATCAGGGTTTTTAACATTTCGAGTTGCCAAGTAATGCACTGATAATTGTTGGCAAGTTTAGAAGATGTCTAAATGCAGAATGAATGATTTTCAAATCTCATAATCCTGTATTTTATTCCTAATAGAAAAGAGAAAACATATCAAATGTGTTTGGGGTTTTTTAATGAATAAATATTAGCTCACTTTGAAGTTGATGCGAGCAACGTATCTCAAAAAAGTTGGCACAAGGGGTGCCACTTTGGCTCAGTGGGTGAGTAGGTGAACACATAAGAAAAGACTAAGAAAGTAAGTGTTCATTAAGGGCATCTTGGAGAGGGCAGTTTCTCAGGAGTAAAAATGTGTAGAGGTTCACCAGTCTGCAAAACAAATCAATCTACACGTTGTGGAACAATTCAGGATAATGTTATTCGACATAAAATTCCAAAGACTTTGAATATCTCATCATCTACAGTGTATAATATCAAAAGATTTAAAGAAACTGGTGAAATCTTTTGTGCAAGGGACAAAGCTCAAATTCTGTATTGGGTGCCTGTGATCTTCAGGCCCTAAGGCAGCAAAAAAAAAAGAGAAGAGGGACCGTCTGACTTTTCATCAATGCTCAGTTCAAATGCCTGCAACTCCGATGGTATTAAGCTGCTTTAAGTGTATATGGATCTGACAACTTGTACAGCTGGAATGCCACCATAGGTATATACAGGTTTTTAGAGCCAAGTATGTTCCAATCCGGTGACGTCTCTTCTTAGGTCTCGTATATTTCAGCAAGATAATGTTAAACCACATTCTGCACCTATTAAAACAGCATGGCTTTATAATAGAAGATCCCGGGTACTGAACTGGCCTGCCTTCAGTAATGCACATGCATTTGCAAAAGAGACGTACAGCACCTAGTAACTGAAGCCATATATTTTTAAAGCTGTCAACTTATTTAATCACTTCTCAGTGGTGTGTGTGTGTGTGTGTGTGTGTGTGTGTGTGTGTGTGTGTGTGTATTCAAATACTGTTGGGCCCGCCTATCAGTGTCCCAGATTGATTTAAATATTATTTATGAGATGAGTTGGGACTGCTTGCCCACCGCCCCCCCCCCCCCCCTCAAATCTCAGTGTAACCACAATAAAGTGATAATTAATAGTCCGGATCACAGCATCTTCTGAGAATCGAATTCAACAGTATTAGAAAAGCTGGTATGCAAAGCGTCCAGGTTTCTTTATTGATATGAAAGAAAGGAGAAGGTGGTCAACTTTTTTAAAGGATTCATGTCTCTCTTACTTAGTTAGAACTTTTCCTGTAGCCCATGCTCTTTTGCTTTCTTTTTTCACAGGCAGGCAAATCACAGATGGAAGAGACTTTTTTTTTTTTTTTCTTCCACTAAACTGATATCAAACTTGAGTCATGTAAAGATACATTCCTGTTGTCTTTATCTCTAGGTCTGCAGTTCAGGCTCGACGAGCGAACAGCCCACAGCAGTCTGGACCTCTTCAAGAAAGACACAGGCGTCATCTATCGCATGATGGGCCTTGACCCCAGCCAGGTCCAAGATGACCCCGAGCGTTTCCGGGACTGGGCTGTCGTGTTCGGCGACAAGAAGATCAGCAGCGGACGACACTACTGGGAGGTGACGGTGAAAAAGTCTCAAGAATTTCGTCTGGGCGTGGCCGAGGCGGCGATGTCCAGAGACGACTGCGTGGGCACCAACAGCTCCTCCTGGGTGTTTGGTTATGCTCAGCGGAAGTGGTTTGCCATGACCAGCAATAAGATAGTTCCCGTGACACTGGTGGGCAAGCCGGACCGTGTTGGGATCCTTCTTGACTATGAAGGGGGTTTCCTGGGGCTGGTTGACGTGGAGCAGCCCAGGATCATTCACACTGTTAGGGGTCAGTTCAAGGCCCCCCTGTGTCCGGCGTTTGGACTTTGGGATGGGGAGCTGCTCACACACTCGGGTCTGGAGGAGCCCGAAGGCCTGATGTGAAGATGGATGGCGTGATCGTTGTAAAGGTCGGGGAAAAGTAGCAGGCTAGGCTTGTTACCATGGCAGTACTTATGAGAACAGTATCTTTAATAAGTGGAGAAAAGAAAGCAATATCTTTATGCATCATGTCTACCTTAATTACATTTGTGTGTGTGTGTTTTTGTGTGTGTGTGGTCCAGATGTTTTCTACCCATCCAGTACTCTGTATGTCATCAAGCCTCAGGCAATTATAAGTGTACCTCATGTGCTACCTCTGAGAGGAACATCAGCTGCCAAGTTTTTGTTTCGTTTTTTTTACATTGAATGTGTTGGCATTACCCACCTTTGCAAACTTAAGTCAACAAAGCATTTTTCAAGCTCATGTTCACACTCAAATTTAATAAAATAACTTCACTGATGCTGCCTCTACATTCTTTTATTTACAACAGTTTGTCATTTACAGTGACCTTAAGGCTTTAATACAAATCAGGAAACTGCTTTTTCATTGCAGGTAAAGCCGTTTTCACACATGAACTTTTCAGCAACAACACAGTCACGCTCGTCATTCAATCCCTCTTTAGAATGAGGAGACTGTGCAGGAAGCACCCTCACTTAAACCAGAATATTTCCAGAAGTGAGAACTGTCAGGACATGAACTTTCTCCTGTTGAATGCGGCATTTGAGAAAGGAAACTGGACATCATCCCAACATTTTCCAGACTTCATGTGTGTGAAAACAGTTCACGTTGCAAATGAAGCGCAGTGAAATCATCACAGGTCTGCATACTGATAAAACACAAGTTTGCGTTCATATATGTGCACAGCTTATATTCACATTCACATATTGTGTCAGCCCAAATGTACACTGTTCCCAGCACCTGACACATTCAGATATGTTTGACAAGAATATCCAATGAGAAGTGTTTTTCAAATTGCAAAAAAGAAAACAAAATCACATCACAGTCCATCAGCAGAGTAAACTGAAGCCTTGACAAAGAAGAGTGTTTCTCATGGGCATTAATACCCGTTTTATATGTTTCACATATAATCAACATCCTGGTTTTGAGAAACGTGGACAATCCGCCTGACGTACTTCAGCAGAAACTTGAACAGTGTGGCATGTCAAAACCTTTTCTGAACATCTTGTGGCTGAGAAAGAAATCAAGACAACTGCACAAAGATGATCAGAAATTACTGCATGGTCATGTACACAGGAAAATGGGAAAAAAAAAATAGGTTACTCATGTTTCCTATAAAGACTAATTTGGACATACAGGAGTCTGATATGAAACTGACTGAAACGGTACTTTTAGTGTTTCAGACATTAACTACAGTCATGGTAAAAAGAAATTACAGCCCCCGTCAGTTGTATGGTTTTTTTGAACAGTTATGGTCAGATGTTTACATAACGCTCATTGTGAGCATGAATGATTTCTTCCAACTGTTCTTTTTCAGGGTGGAATAACTACAGCACAAATCTTTAATGACTTTAAAATCCAAAAACTGGATTCACGAGTTGAAGTTATTTTGGATTATTTCTAATCCACGCAGGGTCAAATATACTGCTTAATGTACTACAGTGTCTTGACTTCTTAAGGCCTATTAACTTCTCCTTAGTGATCATGATTGGTCATTGATATACAGTCTATTTGACAGCACTCATTGAACCGACCAATACTCAGAACAATGGTAAAGTCCAAAGAGCCCAGTGAAGATGTAAGAAGGAGAAATACAGATTTACAGAAACTGGGAAGGTATCTGGAGCCATTTCTAAAGAACTGCAGTTTCTAAGATCATAAGTTCAAACTGTACACAAGTACAGGTTATTTGGATGTGTCACCACTTTGCAAATGGCAGGAAGAAGATCCAAACTGTCACATTTAAATAAAGGGAAATTAGTTAGGATGATCAGGAAGAATGCAGGAACCACCAAGTCTGCCATGAACTGGAAACTGCTGGAACACCAGTGTTAAGTTCTGGACTTTGGATCATTGTAACATCTTCATTCTTTTCTGTTTTTTTCAGTTTTGTGACCTGACATTTAGCCGTCAGACTGACGGCCTTACACTTGAATCGGAACACTTTGGTATACAGAGGAGTTTATGGTCGACTCAATGACTGCAGGATGCCCAGATCCTCTGACTACTAAACTAACAAATCATCACCCCTACATTATCCAGCTTAAAAGCTAGTATGAGGTTTGTGCTGGTATGCTGTGTTTGGTTTTTTGCCAAACACAGCTCTTTGCTTTTGGACCGAATATCTCCATTTTGCTGTTGTGCTCAAAGGACATTTGTGGGTTGTTCAGATTAAATTTTGCAAACTGAAGTTGTGCTGACAAAGTATTTTTAGGGAGAAGAAGCTTTCTCCTAGAAACCTTTCCAAGACATTTTCTGTCATTTTCTAATTGTACTGTCTAACTGAGGCCTGTAGAGTCTTGGCACTGTGTTAACACACCTGAATGCTTCACACCTGCAAACTGTCTAAACATCTGCTTTTACAAAAGGTGGTCAAACTTGCTGATCATCAGTTAATTAAGTGCACTTAGCAGCACTTGGCTGCCATTTACCCCCTTAATTCCTATGGCTGCAGAGAGGCTCTACTTAGTTTTTCCACACACAGCTTTTGGATTTTTTGTTTAGGTTTTTTTATAACGTCCTTTCACTAGCTGGAACCACATCACATTTAGGTTTTACAGCATTTCAAGTTGATAATGGCAGATGGTGTGAATATGAATTGAGACTGTGGTTTGGGGAAGACCTCAGATGGGACTGGCAGCAGGGCAGATGCCAAGGTAAAAATGAGGAGGGCATGAACTGAAAAAGAGAGGAAGGCTGGGAGACAAAATCAAGAACAAACAGCTTGTAGTGTAGGGGTCATATAAAGACAGAACTAGAAGTGGTGTGTATAGAGGTGTGGTCCTACTCCAGAAATTATCTACAAGATATTAAAACCTTATAATTTAAAGAGGATGTCCCTTCTTTTTGCCATGACTATGAACCATATCCTGTCAAGGTAGAATAATTATTAAAGCAGCTTTAGGCATATTTACAGTCATTTCAGTAGAAGCATAAACCTATTATTATGATTAAATTACTCTCTAATAAGGCAGATGATACAACATCTCACCATGTTAAAAATAAATAAGCACTTTAGATATTTACATCTCATTTATCTATCGGAAGCTGAGCATAAAAAAAGCATTAAAGTTTCAACGCAGTCCAAATCACAATATAAATCAATATAATTTTTCTCCACACAAGCCTGACATTGCTTGTTTGTATAGCGCTTTTCTGATACAAACCTTCTGTCTGCAAAGAGATACAGCTTTTCACAGTCTATGAGACGATGCTCACGTAACATTTCTACCACATTTAAGTTGAACTAATTCATTCATCACTGCTCTCAGTCTCACTTCTCTTTCATTCCTCTCAGCTACATAATAAAAAAGACTAATTTTCATTGCAAGCTCTCATGATCCCTAGTAGATTTAAACAATACTCTTCAGCGTATCAAATGCGGCTTTCTGCTCATCTGTGTTGCTCAGTGAGTCGATGTCATCGTACACACGCTGGTACTCTTGCAGGAGCGAAACAACAACTCCATGGCCAAACTGCATGGCGTCATCTAGAGGTGTATTCCCCCATCTAACAAGTAACAGGGCACAAAATGGACATAAATGTTTTTTTTAAAGTTAGTGTTATCGCTTTCAAATGAAGGAGAGGACAATTTAAATTCCTACCTGTCCTTCATGTGAGGATTCACTTTACATATCTCGGTTAGAAAGATTATAGCTTCCACTTGACCTGAAAAGAGAGGAAAAAAAAAAAATGCAGCAAGCCCAACGTCAGAGCCCAAAGAACAGAAGACTAAACATGCTGTAGTCAATTTAGACTTCTTTGAATGTTGAAGCCAGGATTTTCCAACAATGAAAGAAATAATAATGAAAAGTGTCACCTTCTGCAGCAGCGATGTGGAGCACTGTGCGAGAGTCGTAGTCCCTCTGCTCCATGTTCACAGCCGAAAGGGCAAACCTGGGGGGATAACAAGGACACGGGATGGGAGATAAGACGCACACGAAAAGGTTATTGTAACTCCAGTGAAGGACAACTGTCAGAAACCATGGTATGTGAGAAACAGTTACATGATGAAATCACATTTATATGGCAGCTAACATGCTCTTTAATGTTTTTTCCCTTTCTTTATGGAGAATTAGGTAAGAAGAAGACTGATACTGCCTCACAAAGGTCTATTACAGCCAGCAGACAAGCTAGCTGGACATAAAGACTGTTAACATACACAGTATGTTAAAATGTATTTATTTAGTATGACAACAAGAAAACTTAGCACAAAAAGTGATTATTTCTTTGTTGTAACAATGTGACACTGTTGTTTCCTTTTAAATGGTGCCACATTATAAGGAAAATGCATTTGCATTGACGCCCAAAAATCTGCTTATGTAAGAATGCATCATACAACAGTTTGTGTTGTGTATGTGTTTCTGGTAAAAACTAAAAAACGATTATATCCAGGTTTTACTTACCTTCTTAGAGCAGAGACGTCACCATTGTATGCTGCGAACATCAGGTTTACCACTGACTTGTTCTAATGGATCAAACAACAAACACTGTGAGAGTGGTTGTATCTGCTTTGTTTTGGATGCTCATACTAAACATGGCCAAAGTATTGCATATTAAGGCAATCTGTATAATGTTAAAGCTCAGCCTTCAGATTGCTCTAGAATCTTAGTTTCAGATGCATTTTGTCTCCTTTAGGCTCAAAGAAAGGGAGTCCTTAATTATGTCATCTCAAACACAGATGGTTGAGAACAGTTACAGTCAGTCACAGTCAAGATCATGCAACTCATCAAAAGTGTACAAGGTCGCAACAATAATGGAGACAGGAGAAAAACTCGGGCAGCTAAATACTTAAACTGGTCCATTGTAGGTAATGTGAAGCGATACAGAAAGAGTGTGATTACGCAAATACCACATCCTATGTGTGGTATAAAGTGTTTACACAAATTAGTATTTCATGCAGTGAGTTGTAGTTAGAAACCTCACAGCTTTAACAGTGTTAAACGGGTACATTCTAAACACCTTTAACCTCCTAAGACCCGAACTCTTCCACGGGGCTGATTGTTTTTACGTTCATCAGGCCCCAAAGAATTGCCAGATTTTTCTTTACCTAATCTTTGTTTCTAAGAAAAATGAGATCCACATATGAGGATATTCATATAAAATTTCGATAGAACAGTAGCAGTATAATGTCCTCGTAAGTGGATATCAGGCCCTTGTAGAGCAAAATTGAGTATTTTGGTCTAAATAACCCAAAATGTGATGTCCACATATGTGGATGCCAGGTCCTAGGAGGCTAAACAATCAAACCTTTAAACAATCACAGATCTTGCTGTCCAAACCTTCTGTTTTTGAGAGCAGCCAATCAGAAGAAAGCTTGTTTAAAGAGACGGGTAAGGGAGATAAATCTGTTTGTTTAATGGAGTGGATAAATAAGAACTATTTATCCTTATCCTTGTAACCTTGGACTCTATTTGAGACCAAGGTTACAAATATGAACCTTGATAATGAGCATAACAGGGCTCCAGTATATTGTTAGTAATTCATGTTCCTACTTCTCTGACATCATCACCAAAAACAGTCATAATGCTCAGGTCTTATTTTCTACAATTGACAGGCTAACAAACCCTCCTGTGTCAGTGGCAGCTAAACTCCATTCGACCATGGCTTGCAATGACTTTGCCAAATTCTTCACAGACAAAATCCAAAAGATTAGACAAGCAATTGGTACATCAACAGCAGATTCAGGATATGTACTGTGTCCACCGAAAAACTGTTTAAACACCATCAAACAGTTTCACCCTATTAACAGCAAAGACCTGGAGGACATCTTAGGTCAACGGAACACCTCCTCTTGCCGTTTAGAGGTCCTGCCAACAAGTTTTTTCAAAAAGGTCTCAAAGACTTTGGAGTCAGACCTGAATAACTGCTATGATGCCTTCCAGTCAGGTTTTAGACAGAACCACAGCACTGAAACCGCTCTGACCAAATATGTCTGAATACAGACAGTGGAAAAATGTCAGTCTTAGTTTTGCTGGATCTCAGTGCAGTATTTGATACAGTTGACCACAACATACACTCAACAAAAATATAAACGCAACACCTTTGTTACTGCTCCCATTCCCCATGGGATGGACGTAGAGACCTAAAATTCATTCCAGATACACAATATAACCATCCCTCCCAAACAGTGGTCACAAATCAGTCCAAATGTGTGGTAGTGGGCACATCTGCTATATTGAGATAATCCATCCCACCTCACAGGTGTGCCACATCAGGATGCTGATCTGACATCATGAGTAGTGCACAGGTGTACCTCAGACTGCCCACAACAAAAGGCCACCCTGGAATGTGCAGTTTTTTGCGCTATTGGGGGTCTGGGGACCCAGAACCGGTCAGTATCTGGTGTGACCACCATTTGCCTCATGCAGTGCAACACATCGTCGCATGGAGTCTATCAGATTGTCAATTGTGGCCTGTGGAATGTTGGTCCACTCCACTTCAATGGCTGTGCGAGGTTGTTGGATATTCGTGGGAACTGGTACACGCTGTCGTATACGCCGGTCAAGCACATCCCGAACATGCTCAATGGGTGACATGTCCGGTGAGTATGCTGGCCATGCAAGAACTGGGACATTCTCAGCTGCCATCTGCCCTGAACAATGTGAACCATGATTCATCCGTGAAGCGCACACCTCTCCAACGTGCCAGACGCCATCGAATGTGAGCATTTGCCCACACAAGTCTGTTACGGCGACGAGCTGGAGTCAGGTCAAGACCCCGATGAGGACGACGGGCATGCAGTTGAGCGTCCCTGAGACGGTTTCTGACAGTTTGTGCAGAAATTGTTTGGTTGTGCAAACCAATTGTTCCAGCAGCTGTCTGGGTGGCTGGTCTCAGACGATCTTGGAGGTGAACCTGCTGGATGTGGAGGTCCTGGGCTGGTGTGGTTACACGAGGTCTGCGGTTGTGAGGCCGGTTGGATGTGCTGCCATATTCTCTGAAACGCCTGTGGAGACGGCTTATGGTTGAGAAATGAACATTCAATGCACGGGCGACAGATCTGGTTGACATTCCTGCTGTCAGCATGCCAATTGCACGCTCCCTCATTGCTTGTGGCATCTGTGGCATTTTGCTGTGAGACAAAACTGCACATTCCAGGGTGGCCTTTTGTTGTGGGCAGTCTGAGGTACACCTGTGCACTACTCATGATGTCAGATCAGCATCCTGATGTGGCACACCTGTGAGGTGGGATGGATTATCTCAATATAGCAGATGTGCCCACTACCACACATTTGGACTGATTTGTGACCACTGTTTGGGAGGGATGGTTATATTGTGTATCTGGAATGAATTTCAGGTCTCTACGTCCATCCCATGGGGAATGGGAGCAGTAACAAAGGTGTTGCGTTTATATTTTTGTTGAGTGTATTACTCAAACAACTGGAGAACTGGGCAGGTCTTTCAGGAACTGTACTAAACTGGTTCAAAACATACTTAAAAAACAGGAAATACTTTGCATCAATAGGTAACTTCACATCTGTGCAGACAAGTATCACATGTGGAGTTCCCCAAGGTTCCATCTTGGGACCCCCTCTGTTTAACATTTACATGCTCCCACTGGCACAGATTATAAAGAACAACAAAATAAACTACCACAGCTATGCAGATGACACACAAATATATATCACAATGTCACCAGGAGACCGAGGCCCTGTACAGGCTGTTGGTAAATGCATTGAGGAAATTAATGACTGGTTATGCCACAATTTTCTCCAGCTAAACAAAAACAAAACTGAGGTAATAGTTTATTTAAATCCAGGTTGAAGACTCACCTGTTCTCAGCTGCATTTGAATAAAGCACCAAATCCACACTTTTAAGCTTAAATTTCAAAACTTATATTTTAACTACTGATTTTATCTACTGTTTTTTTTTAATCAATTTTAAATCATGCTTTTTATTGTTTGTTTTTTTAATGTCTCTGTAAAGCACTTTGAATCACCTTGTTGTTGAATTGTGCTATATAAATAAACTTGGCTTGCCCTCTGCTGTATTGAACTCTGGTTCTCTCTCTCCCCCTCTCTTCGGTGCAGTTTGTTTGTGCAGATGTGAACATGGTGCAGACCAAAACAACTAAGAAGTTGGCGACTGACTGCTTCCAAATATGTGATGATGTGTGATGCTTTATTTAGATTTGGTCAGATAACCACTTTTGTCAGCTCTTTCCTGTATTTACTTTTGTTGCGCCTTCCACAGATACATTAGGCTAATATAAGAGGACTGAAAGTCCATATTTGGCTTGTTCGCTGTGAGTTTTGTGAAGTAACCAAATGGGAAAGTTTACAAACTCATCCTCTGACTCCAGACCAGAGGAAGCAAACTATCGTCAGTCACCTGAAAAGAAAGCACTGGCTACACTTGTTGCACTAAACTCACTGGATCATCATCGTCATCTAATCGTCTCCTCGGGTCGTGTTTCTTAGTGAAATGCCTCAGGTTGTCGTAATTGTGGAAGTTAAAGCAAGACACGAGATCCTGATGAATCAACAAATAAAAGACAATAATTAATATGACATACATAACATGTGGTGAATTTGATCTTTAACTTTTTATCATAAAAACACAAAGAAGACATGAACATTTAGCTTCTGTTACAAAATGTAAATATTTAAGACTTAAAAAAAACAAAAAACTGTCATTATGTTTAAGAAGCATACCTGACAGAAGTGAATGCCACGAACACTGTTTCCAAGACGATCTAATGGTGGGGACCAACACATCATACCCATGACATTGGGGACCACCAGCAGTACAGCACCTGAAACGCCAGATTTAGCCGGCAAGCCCACCTAGACAAGGACAACCAACAAAACATCTGAAATCTCGATGCAAACGTCTCATGATTAGTACTCTATGATTAAAAAAAAAAAAATCAATTTTCTTCCTCCAGTACAGGGACTCACTTGGAAGGCAAACTGTCCAGAAAAGTCATACATGCCGCACGAATGCATGAGACTTAGGGTGTTGCGCACTGCCTCGGCACTCAGCACGCGGTCGCCTGTGATTGGACAAATACCCCCATTTGCCAGCGTGGCAGCCATGACGCTTCCTGACTCGCAGGTTACCTCTATGGAGCACAGCTGGAGTTTAAGAAAAAAAAAAAAAAGATTAAATACTCACAGAATTGGACTATATTGTTCTTACTGTATTATTCTTACATTACAGATTTCTTTTGCAACGTGGAAACTTGTGAGGGAAATATTTTGCTCTATAGTAGTTTTAGTGTTTAACCCTTCACTTTCTTGATCAGCTGGTCGCCAACTATGTCAGTTTCTGGATGCAGAAAAGATTGTGTGTAAAGACTGCTAAGAGATGAGTCCGTAAACTATAACAGAAAAAGATCAATTAGCTAAATCATGTAAATTTCAGGTGTTAATTCTGGTCGCCATGATTGACTTTTCATTGTGCACATTAAAATTTGATCTTATTATGACGAATCTATCGACAGTAAGAGATGAGGGTGTTTTATTTTATTTTTTAGCTAAATGCTAATGTTTCGCTGATGCTTAGCAGGTACAGTTAGATCCGTCATTTGTTGGTCAAAAACACAATTTCTGTAGTTTTGCCTCTGTGTACCACCACAGTGGATTTTAAACCAAACTTCAGCTTTAATTCAAGGCTTTTTACAAGAATCTTGCAATAACTCTTTAGTAAATACAATTTTTTTATATATAGGCTCTGATTTTCAATAGCTTAAAAGCAACTGAACAATTCACTGACAAGTTTCAGGGTCGGGTGAGTGTTGAATGGGTATTTCATGGCTTTTTACTGATATTTTAAATATGAGAGCTGCAGACTTGTCAAGTGACGGAGGCCATCATTTGGCTGAAAAAGCAAAATTAACCTATCATAGAGATGGCAAAACTTTAGAAGTGGCCAAATAAAAAAATCTGACAGAAGGAAGGACGAAAGAAGAAACTAGCTTAATCGTTTCTGATAATTAAGGACCCTGAAATGTACTTTATAGGTTTTTTTTGGTTCACTACAGACTTCTTGGCTTTAAATATATTATCTGCCCCTGCTGGTAATGCAACTTCTGCATGCATGCCCATTTCATGTTTCAGAGAGGCAAAGTATGACATTGACAACTAACAATATCTAACCAGGAGAAAAACATTTTGCAGGAGGTAGGAATATCATAATCAAAGTCTATAACCAAGAGACACTCAAGAACAGGAAGGCTAAACTTTGCCAAAAAAACAACAACAACAACAAAAAAAAAAAACAACTAACACTCAAGCCTGCAAAATTCTGCAAAAGCGTAGAGGGCTATGTTCTGATTCAGCCAAATGCTGCAAAACAGCATGACAGCACTACATAGAGCAAATCGATAATGACCCCCAAAAATGCTACATAATCAAGCAAAACGTTTCTTAACGTAAAGAAATGGGATAATCTTCAGTAGCCAAGTCAATCATCTCAACGCTACAGAGCATGCTTTGATAAAAATGTCTGTAGTACCTTAACAGTTAACGGAAAATTGTTGTAAAACCCCTTGAAGTAAAGCTGGAAGTATGTACTTCAATCACATATTGATAGTTTGATTTAAAATTCACTGTGATGTGATGAACAGAGGCAGTGAACTGTAGCAGAGTGTAGATTTGCCCTAGAAAAAGAAGTTTCACTGTCCAGCAAATTATCGACCTATAATAATCATGAGGTTTCTAATTACACTGCTTACTTAGCTAAACATTAATATTAAAGCTGAGGTTAGTGGGAGTGATACTTATTTAAATACTTGCAAAGTGTCATAGATTATTGGACAATTGGAAACTTGAACAAGGGGTAAAAAGATTCATTATGTGGACATCATGACTGGTGCCGCCATCCAGTTGTGTTTAATCTGGATCAAATTGTTGGACCAACTGACAGGGAGCTGCTCTGCTAGCATACACATGCTAAAATATTGTTTCCAACAACTTTAAAGGACAATCTCACCTGAAAGTAAAAGTCAAGAGCTGCAATCATATCTGCATTTTCAGGAAAGCACTGCAAGGAATAAGATTAGAGTCATCATATACTTTTCAATTAAATTTAAAACCTCAATTCAATAACCCCTGAAGTAATTAATATTGTATGCAAAACACCAAAAATAATAAACGCACCTTTTTCTCTTTGAGGTAATACCCAATGGCAAAATTCCTGTCACCAGTCTCCCTCTCTGACTGGAAACTGCCGGCACACAGCGATATGAAAACCATCATTCAGGGCACAAAATGACAATATTTTTTACATTTCTTGCAGCAGGCCACTCACGTTGCATTGCTGAAGCCCACATACTCTGTACCAGCCATGCTTTTCAAGAACTCCATCACCTGCAGTAACATCACTTTTAGAGACCATTGAGCAGGAAGAACAAATACCAAAAAGGGACTAGATATAAAAATTTCTAAAAATAAAACATTTACTTACATAGTCAAACCTCTCAGCCTTATTTGAATGAGGCTGTAAGAAGAGAAGAGGAAAAATAACTTTCTGTTGCCAGCTCAATAGAGTCAGTAAGTCCCTACAGATGGCAGTGTTTGAGTGCTTTGACACTGAAGCATACTTTTGATCTTGGGTGTGTGTCAATATCTGATGTGCACATGGTGTGTTTGAGCGTGTCAGCCCACGTGGCAATGTGCTCGCTGTGGCGTGAGGGCTGCTTATGGTTGTGCTTGAATTTCATGGACCAGCAGATGATCATTACCGTGTTGTAGAGGTACCAAAAGGGGATGGCGCTACATTCATATTTAATGGCCTTATCTCGAAAGGTTAAGGATGATAGCAGACATCACTGAGTTCAAGGAAAGACCTGAGGACTAAATCTCATGACCACTAAAAGAGTAGGCTTTATGTCTTTCAAGGGAATTTATCTCTGGTGTGCTACCTAATATGAAAAATTATTTTTGACCAAAACATACAGATGTTTGATGTTAAACTTTGATATGTAAACCTTAGCAATATTTATGCACTCCCGAATGTGCACAAATATTGCATCTTCTATATACTTTGTAGTTTTAGCCTTTAATTTCCTTTTCTGTGTCTAAAATAAATGCTTTTTAAGTATATAATCTCCTCAGTGTAAATATAAACTATATGCAGATACACTGAATAAACTATGTTGACACAAGTATTGCCCCCTCTAAACACATGGAGCTGTGAGGCTGGCTAACACACCTTCAGTTCTGGGGGCCACAATTGGCTACAAGCATGCACACGCCATGTCGTCCGCCCCAGACTGATTCCCCTCCCTTGCAGCTGCACTTGGCCCACATATGATAAGAGTCAGCTGTCAGACTTCAAAAACCAACACAAGCAAAGCCTCTACGACCATATATGACTGTATGTTTTGGAGTAAAGGCAAAGATCACAGATAAGTCACTATGGGGGGCATATAATCTCAGCCAATAGATAAGGATGTCATGGCTGTTGCTGACATTATCCATCAGGAGGGAGTTTGTTCAGTAAACTTCAACCTATTTGGTATAAAAGTGTTGCTTTCTAGAACTTTGCATTGTAAATAACATTACATCACCAATAGTTTGACCTTTAAGAAACCAGCAATCTGTGGCTTTCAGCTGTGTATTTCTTTAGCGCTTCATACCCATGAAAAAAGCAATTTTCTAAACTAGCTCACAACATTTAGCTCACAATTGTCTTTATATTGAATATTCTACCGTCCAAAGTACCACTAAAGGGATTTGCTTGCTTAGGTCACACACAGATTGCAAACTGTGGCACAATCAGGTTTCATAATGACTGCAAATTTTGTAAGATTGCAAACCATACAGGGCTCGTCCCTACTCATGCACTGGCTACAGGAATAAAAAAAGAGTTTGTCTATTTTTTTGAAAGAGTTATGTTTTTGGCAACTTCAAGCTCGTGTTGAGCCGGCAGCTAAAACCCAAATGAAACCATACATTATCAAAAAATATTTTGCAAAACCTATTTCACTCCTGCTTTGTACAGACTTTTAAACAGGTGATTACCCCTTTGAACTGTGAATCTCTAGAGAGGCTACAGAACACTATGCTGCACTGTACTAATTCAAGGGAAAACATTTAATAAGGACTGGGTTTAAAAATGGAAAGCCTATTTTTGGTCATGTCCAGCTGCCTCCTAAGAGACTCCTCTGTTTTGCCCCAACAACCTCATATAATGACCGACAACTACGTAGTTATTTTATGTGCATATTCTTAAACACAGACATGTGCATTCAGTAAGCATCTATTATCACATCAATGTATTCAGGGCTTAGATTTTACCTTAATTAAAGAACTGATGACAATAGCTCCAGCATTCACCATGGGGTTGTGTGGTTTATCTGCACAAAAAATGAGAGCAAGTTATCACTGATTTGCCCCTAACCACAAGAATAATAAACTGAGACTGCTGAGACTGGAGAATAAATTTCATCTTGGGGGCTTAGGATGCAGCGACGGCTAATGAACTGAAGACATGCAGTAAAATCTAATTGGCTTTAGAGATGAGCAGGTACTTTAATTGTAACCCAGCTGGCAGGAAAATTTCATACAACATTTGTAAATGTTATACCTACAAGCTCTAATGATGTTTCCGATTGGATGTTCAAGGAATATTTCTAGGTTAGAAGTAATGCATTTCTGACTGCAATATACATAATAAATATAATGCTTTGAAAATGTTCATTCATAATATTACATGGAAACATTAAAAATGCAAATATTCTCTGCATTTAGAGAATATTTCCAGGATGTTTTTGGCATTCCTTTAATGTGATGGAAAAAAAGCTAATAAGCAAAATAAAAACAAAAAAAAAATACACAGCCTGTGTGGGTTGACTCTGGGTACTCTGTTGGGACATTAGGTTAACTGTGGTTCTTAACTGGAAATAGGTGGGAATAACCATCAAACCCTCCAACTGCAGCTAAATACACAGATAACTGTTTGTTTTCAATTCTGAAATTGCGTAGTAATGTTGTTCCCATCCACATAATGTCCTCACAGAGACCACGCACGTGCTGATCGCTGGGTCGGACAGAATAATATGTGCAGCAGTGTCTGGACATTTGAAAAAAATGGAGGGACAGATGTTCTTGTAAACTCTGACTCATATGTTATTATCGCAGGGAGCATAAATGGGGTTCTTTACGCAAATCACTTGCCTTCCTCATTTAGTGACAGTTTGTTGAACTTGAGACCACTTGGCTCTTTGCCCACAAACTGGTGAACGTGCTCACTGCCAAACTCGTGCACAGCGATGGCGTACTCCAGAGGCTTCACACATGACTGCAGACAGAAGGGAACCTTGGTGTCACCCACAGAGTGTCTGCATGACATGAGGATGTAATGGAGAAAAAAATAAAATAAAATAAAAAATAAAATAAAAATGGAGGCGTGTTAGTGAGGCAGTACACACGGTGGAGGTTTAGAGAATGGAAAGACGTAGAACAAGTGGAACTGATACTGCACCTCTGTCCGTCGATTGTGCACAGAGATACACCCCACAGGTCAGGGCTGAACTTAGCCAACTGTGGAATGTAGTCAGCCACCTGCATAAAGACAAGAAACATGTGAGTGAGCTAAAAAATGATGACGCACACGCTAAAATCAATACGCGTGTTGACCTGGCACTTACCTGTCCCCCCTCCTGCTGATGCGCACTGTCGTACATTGTATCAATTTGGTGGACAAACTTTTCAAAGTCTGGGATGATAAATTTTTTTCTGAAAGCCTTAGTCAGCAGCATGATGTTGTTGCCCACACATCTACGAAAGGACACAATTACAATGAGGTCAAGAAACCCTTAAAATGCGCGCTTTAATTAGTAAATTTTGATATTCCTAACTGTCACTGAAGCTACTTTGTAGCAAAAACACTGCCCATAAAACCACCCTTCAATAGGAGGAGCCAAATAAAAGCCTTTCAGTGAGTAAATCCAGGTACCGATCAGTGTTTTCATGGCAGACATTATGACCCTTTACAGTTAAAAGACATTATATATATTAATGCAAAGATGGTTCTGTGCCAGGGAGCCGTGTCAATGTGACAGAAATGCAGCATGTACAATTCCCACAACTGAACCAGACAAATGGATTTAATAAATTTTATTATTCACACCAGTGTGATAAAACAGGACTTTTATCCCATGTAATAAAGTGTAATGGAGACTGAGATGTTTTCATAAACAAATAAAATCCCTTTGCCTCTGCTGTGTTAAGTTACAGCAGAAATTGTGGGAAATATTGGCTTACTTGGATTATTAATATCAGATGTATTCTTTGTGATGCGAGACAGGCAAGCAACTACACCTCAGCTTCACACGTAAGACAACAGAAAACGCTGAACAGCAAACACCAATCATAAACAATTAACAATTACAGGGCCTCTTGGGTACTTCGCTAAGCCAAGTCGAGACGAGCTACGTGATTAAAGTACTAAGTTAAATTTAATGAAATTTGGTGGAGAGGTGGAGCTTTGTGAGGTTTTTGATGACTGCGGTCTTGGTCTAGGATATTGTTTTAGAGTGACTCTCAGGACGATTAATCAAACAAAGAGCTGTACAGCTAGCAGGTCCTCAAATGGAGCCATATAATACTGTGCAAAGGTATTGAGCTTTCACTCATGTCTTGGCATTTTGCTTTTAAAAAAAAAAAAAAGAAAAAAAAAAGGGAAAAATATGTGCAGGATTTTACTGAAACTTGCAAACAAATGAAGATACAGCACGTAAGGCAAAAAACAGAGTTTCTGCAATTCTAAATAAGCTTGAAAGCCAATATTTGAGAACAGCACCTTGCGTGTATTAAGCAGTAGCTTGAGTGCAGGAAGCTGGTGAGGAACTTTTCAATGTCAGCAAGGCAAATTGTAGACTGCACTATTTTTCATTCTTAACCTGTTACTGTAAGACAACAACTTCCCTTGTAAGGATCAATAACGTAGCTATCGGTCTATTCTTTCACATAGCCTGAACTCTGAGGCAAGCTTTTGCTTTAACTTCTTTAAGTAGTCTTCAGAAATAGTTATCCAGTCTTCTTGGCCAACCTGTGACTAATAGCGTTTTATTGTGTTTCATATCCAGGTATGCTTTTACTGCACTGACGGTGTTTTGGGGAATGTTGTTATGAAGCTGTTGCCCGTGAGACACTTTGTAGATAGTACTGCATCACAATGTGACTTTTCTGAGTTCATAATTAAATCAGTTTTCAAGATCCCCAACACCACTGGCTGAAATGCAATCTCATTTCAGCCAGTGGTGTTTTCAGCCACAGAGACTCTGCTGTGTTTTGAAACACACCATTCACTTTTGTAGTTTTCTAATGACCTTCCCATAAAATACTGACAGTGATTTGAACTACAAATGCACCTTTCTTAAGAATGTTTTCTTCACGGCAGCTTCAGTGAACAGCAGATGGATCAACTGAAGGTCCAGATCCATCCATCATGTCCCGTATCAGGTCTTTGTTGGATTTTTCTCCCATTTCTTAAGGACATGAATTTCAGATACGGTTCATCTTTTGCAGATAGTTTTTCATGCCTGCTACTTCTTCTTTTGTACTCCATATTTCCAGTTCCCTTAATTTTTTTTTTTTTTTTAAGAGCACACTATGCACTGTACATGCTTATATTTTCTACAAAAAGTCTTTGGGAATCACCTTGTTGGTGCAAAAACACCATCTTAGGCCAATCAAACTGTTATCATTAGCATTTTTCAAGGATTAATCTAAAGAAATATGAAGAAACGATTAGCTTTTGCTGCTAGTAACAGTAAAATCTTTATTTATTATGGGTTGTTATGTGTACACTCAACACTAGTTCATTACTTGAGCCTTGCATGATTTATAAGTCAAAAGGCAAAGAAACAATTCCTCTGAAAAAGGTTAACGATTGGACTGACTCAAGACTTTTTGCACAGTACTGTATAAACTGAATGGCTTATCCATCAGAATGGCTGATTGCACCTTTAAGCTAAAAGTTATATTAAGTAGTTTACTCTGAGTTATATGTAGTTGTATTACTACATAACCGTTTTTGAGAATTAGTCAAAACACTCCTCTGTAATATGAGCGTCCAACCTTAGACCCTTAAAAACCTAACCATGAAATAAAGCATTTATTGAAACTTAAATAACATTAATTTGCATATATTTTAATTCATCAAATGAGTATAATATTTGTTACGTTTAGCTTTTTTTGCAATTTTGTTTTATTGCAGAAAAGGAAAACTCATTGATGATGTAAAAGTCTCAAAAAATGATACACTTGGCTTTACAAGATAAACCTTTGGCTTTTTTCAAAGAAAAGGAGTCCAGACATTTTCTTTAGCTTCTTTGATCCAAGCGGAAAATTCTGAAGTTATTGAGAAAGGTGGTGCCTGAAAAATTGTTTATATAACTAAAACATCAATCAATAATTGAAATCTTCAACACGCAGGCTTCAAAGTAACCTGTTTCAGGCCAACTGACATTTAGCTAAAAGGGTAAACAAACCTGCCCATACCAACTCATCCAGTAGTTATTACAGATTTCCATTGCTGTGTGTGTTAACTGCTCAGCAATGCAGTATGCTCTCAAGGAAAGGTATGCACATTCTGTCACAGCTCTGAACTAAAATATCTGGGCCCAGAGGCCTCACTAATCCAAGACGATGCTAACGTGAGGTTTGGGACACCAGGAAAAGAGAGTGGAGAGAGCTTCCATTATTCATACGGGTCATCTCTTTAAAAAAAAATAAAAGCTAGCTCTCTCTGTTTCTAGTAGCATATTTATAGTATGCTCTTGAGTGTTCTTCAGGAACAGATGACCTGAAGCACAGAAAATCAGAAATGACCAATTAATTTTAACAGAGATAGTCAGACTATTTAACCCTGTGCTGTTCCAGGCCAAAGGAAGAGAGCGAGTGAATTACACAAGTCTGCTATGAAATGATATGTCTGGTCAGCAGCCTGCATAGCACTTACGGATCTGTTGGGCCTGCTAATGTAATTGCCACAGTCTGGAGCCAAACCAGAATGATGCCCTTTCATTAACAGCCCCAGAGACCCCCTGTCTTCCAGCACACTCCACTGCTTTGGCTGGCATGCATGCACGTGAATTTTGTTAGCTGCAGCTGTCGGCCATAAAACGCCCGTCTCTGTCAGGCCCTTGGACTCAAATAGCACTGATCACAGATCACTAACAAACACTCATGTGAAAGCTCAACCAAACTTCATCATTTTCCTCCCATTTACTCAATCTTTATTTGAAAGATTATAATTAAATACATTTCACTCAAGGTCTTCTGACTAGTTTTCAAATATTCAGCAACTGTGTCCCCAAACGAAATCAGTTTGGCGATCGTTGCTCAAGAGTTGGCAGTTTGTCTTGTAATCAGAAGGTTGCCAGTTCGAGCCCCAGCTTGGACAGTCTCGGTCGTCGCCTACTGGTGACGGCCAGAGGGGCCGGTGGCAGCCTCGCTTCTGTCAGTCTGCCCCAGGGCAGCTGTGGCTACAACTGTAGCTTGCCACCAGTGAGTGAATGAATAGTGGAATTGTAAAGTGCTTCGAGGGTCTCGAAAAGCGCTATATAAATGCAATCCATTATTATTACATCACCATACACAATGTTTTTCACCTTCTGAAAAGTTTCTTATCCATCATGACTATCCCAATGGAGTCACGGGTGGATTGTCGCATCTGATGGACACAATCGCGTAGCCGAGGGTCAGATGTTAACAAGCCTGTTTTTCTTAAAGCCTGCAGAGAAGGGAAATAAGAAGCACAAGGGAGAAAAGAAGGGAGTGACCTACTGACATACTCTTTCACACACTGAAAAAGCTTTTTATGTAAGAATATTAAACATGTGTCAAGGACATGTACAGTGAAAGAGCTGCAAAGCTTCAGGCGTTGCCACAAGGGAGAGAGGTGGAAATACAGGCATAGACCAGATCACTGGAATCCCTCTCGCAAGTCACAGTGACAGCCACTGTATGTGGGTCTATTTTGGGGACACCATGTGTACAACCCTCCTGACCAGTGAGACACCTTTTGACTGGTAAGTGATTCTGTAAGCAAGCACGCGGCTCCAAACATGCTCTTGCAGGAAGTGCTGAAATTAGACTGTTGTAGTGTTCCTGAGTCTATTTTAGAGTCGAGCCCTTCAGTTGACTGTTTGAGGGTTGGGTTTGTGAGCACAACAGACAGAACTTTTTATAAATATATGTTAGCGAAAGGCAACAGCTTTTAAATGAAGCAGATTGTTTTTTTTAACAGCAACATGACGTTCAGTTGTGCATTTAACAGCTTGTTGAAAATAAAAAAAAAAAAGAAGAAAAAATTGGGTCAGTGGAAAACACACTTATAATTAATTTTTACAAGCTGTTCATCATCACACACACAATTATCTCCTTTTCATTCACAAATGATGGCCCAGTGTATCCTTTGCTAAAGAAGGAAGTAAAGGAAGAACAAAAGTAGCTTTTTTAGTATTTAGAATTTTCAAACATCTCTAATTAGGCTGACATGCATATACTTCTGGGTCACTTTACTCACTTAGAAACCTTTCTAAGCAAATGTAACTATTTGACTGCACTCAAAGTCCTGACTCTGCCTTTTTTAGATCACCTGCTTTAGGTTTCCAGTGTTTTATGACACCCTGAGGGTCAATGTGTTTTGCAGTTGTTATTTCCATTGCAGGGACACCGAGTACCACTTTCCCGTTCCATCTCCGCTCCAGTAACCTCTATAAACACACCAAGTCATTTGTGCTGTCACCTGTGTTGACACACGTCTCTCCTTCTTAATGTACGTTCTGTTTTAAAAAGACTGAGTCGTCATAGACACCGCAGTCACCAGCTGTCTGTATAACATGTCCCATCACAGGAGAAAAGGGAAAAAGACTCCGAGTTTATGTTCTATGTTCTAAGTCTATGTTCTACTTCTCAGTAACCTGAGCTCTTGTGAGACTTTTAAGATATGAAAAGGTTCATATCTGTTCATAGAAGCATGACTTTTTTGAATGTGTGAGCTTAGTGGGACCTCATGTATCTGACAGGAACCTCATAATGCTCCTAAGATTAAGTAAGGAAATAGTAGGTGCTGGTTCCTAAATTAAATTCCTTTAATCTACTAATATTATTAAATCGACCAGTACAACATCTCAACTGTAAAGTCCTGTTGTAATTAAAGGCAAAATAATAATTAAAAATTAATGTGAACAATTAATATTGCTCTCTGATTCTAATTACTTTGGTTCTTAGTGCCACAGCTACTATATATAGTCCTATTGCATAAGAAAGTCCCTAGACACTTTTTAAACTAGACTCCTCAGTCAGGTGGAGATGCTCTGGATTCCTGTTGTGGGATAACATGGCACTGCCAAGGGTGATTTGGTTAAAGTCAACGGTGTAGTCGAGTGTGTTTGTGTATGTTCACATGGGCCATGAAAAGCCAAAACAGTGCTCAGTGTGACAGAGGAAGTGTAAATGTGCTGCTGACGTACAGAGATGAACTGGGAGAGAGGGATCATCTCTTTGCCATCAGTGATGGTGTAGAAAAGCAGGTCCTCCATGCTGGACATCAACCTGCTTCTATAAAAACAAAAAACACACACGCAATAGGTTTTGATGTTTAAATGTGGACAAGCTTCAATGTCAGAACTTGAGCAATGAGTCAAAGTTTATGTCAACATAAAGCTAGTGTAAATACTGGCATTTTTCCAGCAATCTACTTTGATCCTAACATAAACTTTGTTTTAGAGAAGGCTTAACTACATGTATATTTTTTAAAAATCTACATAAAATATACAGTGTAGTTTTTGGAGTGTTGCATACAATTAATATGCAGACAGATATTTTAAAATATAATTGAACTTATCAATTTTCATCTATAAGAAGGGCAAAACAATTAACCTGCTTGTCATGAAGTGTTATAGACTTAGCAAGGGTGACTGAATCAGTTTCCAAAGAACCCAAAGTAACAGCACCATAGTCATTTTAAGATTGATAATGGTGTCACTCTCCTTTTTACAGCAATTTTTGCATCTTTCCTGCTGTAATTATATACATAATAGTGATCACTTGAGATTTACAGAATATGCACTTTAATATAGTGTTAATCACTGCACTTTTAATGTGTCTGTGTTTAGGTAATTAGCAGACTAAAGAAGGAAATTAACTGCTTTAAGTCTGGCAAGTAATTTGGTGCCAATTAAATAAAAAATGCTGTTATATCAAATAATATGAATTCACTGCCTCAATTATGCCATATTTCTCAATTGAGTAACTTTTATCACTAGCAAATACTTATTATTTAATCTACAAATTACTTTTTTGTATACACAGAGACACAGAGATTCTTGTTTTGTTTGACCAGCAGCCCAAATTAGAGATATTTAGTTACTCGCTATACATTCCTTACTTAAATCACTGAAGGTAAGTGAAAAGCATCAAATCAACATATTTAAAAATTTGAAACAGTGCAAATGTGAACAGCATAAAGAGGAAAAAGGGGACCAGACAATACTCCTTTACCAATAAAGGAGTGAGAGGCCTGCTAATTAAACACAATATGTGTTATGGTAGCCTAGCTTTATATGTATTTTTTTTACATTTTTTTTTTTCAATGTATTGGGTTTGCTCATTTCCGTTTAGCTTTTATTGTTTAAAAATGTATAATTTTGACACGGGTCATGTCAAATAGGAACCCCAGTCTCAGTTAGCCTGCATTAAAGCCTCCTGATGTAACCACACCGACAAAAGTTTCAAAATAGCCTTCAGTGTAGTTTTGTGGGAAGCAGATGTTATATTGTTTCTTGACCTGGCACACTGCCGTATTGTTAGTATTACAACTGTTTTGTCAAAGTTTGCTTTCCATGCATGTGTTTAATTGCTTTTATTAACCTCTGGACAAAAGCAAACCAACATTTTTTTCAGCTATTAGCAAACATTAGCTGCCTGCAAGCTGCAGTTTTACATCTCACAGACTTCATTGGTGAATCTTCCCAGCTTTACATAAAAGGTAAGACTATTTACCACAAAATAAGAAACTTTTCTGACAAATTTTACTTTAGTTAGTGTGGCCACCTGTTACTACAAGCTTGAATAATGAGGGGAACTTAAGCAGCTAATGCTAGTAGAATTATTACTCTTATTGTGAGAGTACTGTAGTAAAAATAAAAGTACTGAATGATTTTTTGACTAATTAATGATGACAGTCTTCTGTGACCTACTTGGTGTGTCCTTGGTCCACATCAGGGCCCTGCTGGTGATAATAGGCTCTGTGGGTGTGGGGTGATGCTGCTGCCCAGCAGGGGAGAAGAACAGGTTGCTGAGTCCTGGACAAAACCATGCTGTCAGCTCCAACTCTAGCAGAGATCCCTGCATTTTTAAATAGCTGCAGGATTCCCGGGTTAGCTGTCCTCAGACTTTTCAGGCAATGCATTGTGATAAGTAGGGCTCAGCGTTTAATAATTCAAAGTAGTTTTTTTTCTTTTTCTTTCCTCCAGTAGCTGATCTTGAGAGATATCTGTGACCTGCGCTCCTTGGTCCTCGGAGCTTTAATAGCAGCAGCTGTCTTACAGACGGGATCAAGTAGAGGCTGTTGCTCCGGGGCGGGGCTGTGACACCGGCAGCATGGTGGGGTCAACAACCAGCACCTATCGACATGAAACTGATGTAATTTCGGCCAAAGTTAAATCACTTCCATCTAAACAAAAGAAAAAAAAGAGAAAAAGTTATATTCTCTATACTTTTCAGGGATTTATATTTTCCCCCTCCATTGACCATCCAAAAATATTTATAAATTGAGATTAAATGGAGTTAAAACCTGAAATGAGCTCATAAACAAGCTTTGCTTTCGTTTTTAGGCATATATATATATAAATAACTTACAGAAAACAATCTAAAATGGTTAGTTTCTTACTGCATGAATAACACATCCAATATCCAATGCCCAATATTGAATTCATATTTGATTGTTTATGCAAAATCTTACATATATTTCTCCTATTAAACTGTTATTTTTGTTTTTATTATTACTAATAATAATGTTGGTGATGATAGTGTTTAACAACAACAATAATAACAGTGTTTTCCACATTTTATATGAAGAATATAGGCAGTGTTTCATTATAAATGCGTCAGTAGGACAACTGGCTCTTCTATTAGTCATGACATGTAAATATGGACTGATGTAAATGACCAACTGTGTTGTGTTTGTCTCCTACATACTTCCTGTAAGGTTGCAGTCAGGTTGTCGCTACGGTATTTTCTAGTGTTGTGACATAGTGACACCACCTGGTGAGTTTCCCACGCTCATGGACTGAAATCTTACGGTCCTGTCCGCTAGGTGGCGTACTCACTCCAGGACCTTCTACTCACGTCAGTTTCCCCTCTCTAACTCTGTAGTTTTACTGAGTACACATCACAGTGAGATCTTTCCTCTCCAGAGGGTTTCTCAGCATGTTTCCTGGTGCTTCAAAGACACTTTAAAAAGATCCCTTCTTATTTTTTGAGTTTTGGACTTGGCTTCCTGTCTTTGATCTCAGCTGCTATGTGAGATGTTCACTGAAGAGTATCACCAAAACTTTTACTCCTTAGTAAAACTATTTCTCATCGTAGTGGAGGATTCTTCCGAATTGCAGACATCACATGAAAATATGTATATTTTCTATTTTTATCTATTCATATTTATCTATTTATTATTAAGGCAATCAAATGATTGAAATACAGTCTTTCTCACGCTTTCAAACTGTGCAGTAACACTTTAATTGTAGACTAAAGGGACAAGATATTATCTTTATTACCAAATAAACAAGGCCTTGCTAGGAATGGCCTTCTCCTTCGCATTTCCAGCCATATCAGTTCTCTAAAGAAGTATATGCTAACCCATGGTCCCTCTGTGCTACCTCTGCCGGTTGTAGCTTCTCTGTTTTCAGCAGAAAATGTTTTCCATTCCTGGGCCAATGAATGCCACCTTTGTCCCTTCATCCTCCGTGTTGTGTGAGAAAACCCCCCTCACTGCACTCACCAAGCCTGCACAAACTTAACCTCTTTCCCCCTCCACCTCACACAGGAAAAGAAACATACCGGCTCTGGAGCTTTGATTCCATCTTAGTAATCTGGAGGTCTGGCTAAAGCCTTGCAATAGAGGCTACTTTGGACAGACGTTTTTAAGTACCTTAGGGAGGAAAAAAGGTGAAATGTTCATACAAAAAAGTGTGGTAATTAACAGGGTAGGAGATATCTATTAGTTCAAGGCTAATTTAAAGCCCTGGGAAACATTACTTATCCTCATTATCAGCCTGTCCACACCACATTACCAATTACACTGCCATTTTCACTGGATTGGGGCATGCTTATTTTCCTGAATCACTCAAAACCGTCCAAGCCCTGAAACACATTTTACTCATGCTACCACACACCACTCTTGTTCGGATATTACCCCAGAAACAAAGGACGTAAAACGCCTTAATTTAATCCATTTCCAGTTCCTGTTAAACTCAAAGCCTCCTACACCGCCTGCATGGCAATAATATGATATTAGGAAGAGGTATTAAATAGGTATAGCACATTGTGAAATAAAGCTCCTCATTAGAAACTATTGAAACCTTGTAGAGATTTAATGCATCGTTTAATGCATCTCTCAAATGAAAGGATAAGGGCCATTATCCCTGTGCCACCCAGGGTGTAAGGAATTCCATCTCTTCTCTAAATTGAGTCTTACCCACATAGCGACACACACACAAACACACACACACACATAGAGGGCATAAAACTGAATTATAATACATTCATTTCCTGGAGACTTATCCTAACCATCCAATCCAGTATCATAGGATGTCTTGTCATATCTGTTGCTCGTCTGTCTGTCATAATATTGCCCCCAAAGTGGCAGCAGTAACACCCCGGGATGTTGTAGTGAGCAGTTGTTCCTTAATGTTGCATATTTTAATATGGTTTCACTATATTTAAAAATGAGAGATAATCAGTTTTTTAATACTCATTAAAAAGATATCTAAGTTGAAACAGTTTTTTTTTTCTTTCATTGTAATATTCTTTCTCTCTGTGGTGACCAAAATCAATCGCAGTCTTTGGTCTGTACAAAAACTACCAGCTTATGTTTAACTGAGGCTTGATCAGATTTATCTGGTGGCTATAATCAAAACTGACTATCCTTTTCATTTGAAATTCCTTTTTTGTGTTTCTCTGGGGTTTGTGTCCTTATCAAGCTACGCTGTTGGAATAGTAATGCAAAGTGAGGATTTTATTTAATTCAGCCTCCTGTTAGCTTATTGGCCGCATCACATTAAGAAGAGATTACTAAAAGTCCAGTATGGGTATGATGTTTGATTACAGCATTATTCAATCAGACTTGAGCAAATCAGAGCCTGTCTTTTAAATCTGTAACTATAACTGTTCACCTTGAGCTCTAACCTTTAATAATAATAAGCATACTTTTTGACAAAGCTTATTATGACACTGTACCCTCCCTGATGTATTGACCGTTTCTTCTTCCCTTACATATTTTCACTCACTGTTATTATTAAACCCTGGCTCTTTTCCACAGTCTACCTTTGTCCTGTTGTTGTGAAGTGGCCCTATATAAATTAAATTGAATAGAATTACTATAGCAACATACAGAAGTTCATATGTCCTTATGTTCATTTGTCACTAGTTCAATGTACAAATGAATCACTTTAATGGATGTCTATACTGATATGAAATAAAATTATTAGTAGCTTACTAGCTTTGAATATAGTAAAAAGTAAACAAGAGATAGGAAAGTTTGAGTTCAACCAAAGTCCAGCAGCCAATCTGGCATATCAGTAAGCCAGCGGTAAAAACAGCCAAGTTTGTTCATGTTCAATTCTTAATGACTTTATTCATTTATTTAGATTAGGAGTACACAGCTGGAGGGACTTGATATGAGCCATGTAGGTCTGTCCTTCTATGCTAACCACCACTAATGAGGTTCAACAAAATTAAGACCGCAATTTTCAGTCATCTAGTTTTTTGTCAATATCAAAGGGAACTATTAACGACGGGTAAAAAAACTGCAGGTTTGATACCACTGGCCTAGATGTTAGACTCCAGTGATTTGTGGGGACGTATTGCAGTTTCTATAGACATTTTTACAGATTTCATGAATCGCAGAAATTCCTCATTCCTCTCTAAAATTTCTGATTGAATTTCTTATTCTCTCTACTAACTCATGACAAAGGTTGAAACGCTGGTTCAGTGTGCACAGACTAAAACCCTGTCTGCAAGTCTCAGATGAAGTAAAAACAAGATAAAGATTATTGTGGTAACTTTAACTCACATGTAAGCCTAAATGCTATACATTAAGGTCTTTATGAAGTGCACTGGTAAATTATAATGCACACTGGGCATGTGAACATCTCAGTATTCAAGAGTTGGTGCATAAGCACACAACTGGTCAGCTACAAAGAAGAACTTGAAGTATTAAAAATTGAGTCAAGGCTGAGGCTGACAGGTTGGATCTTAATTGACCCAAAGTGGCCAGTGCACAGCAAATCTTTGTTAGTAGAAACATGACCCTTTCTGTGGCACCGGTAAAGCTACACATTCCACCCCAACGAGACAGAATCGGGTATGTAATGAGCGTTATAGCCCTGTAGGACAACTGAATTTTTGCTGCATATGTTTTTCCTCCTCATTGAAATTTGGCATCCTTTAGTCTCAACAATGGCAGAAACATTAAAGTGGAGTTTCTTGCAGCCACTACTATCTTATGTGTTCTTCACAACTAAATGAGGGACAAGATATGTTGTGAATAGGGCCTGTTCATACTCTCTTCTGCCCCAGGTGGGTGCTAATTATCACCACTTTGCCTGTACACAGGGCTACATCCACCCCCTCTCTTACGGTCACTGTGCCGAAACCTAGACACCCTCTAGACCCCAGGAGCCTCAGTGCACCCGTACAGTACTGAAAGATCAGCCCCCCATCACCACCACCTTCCGCCTTCCTTACCATCTCTTCCCCTTCCCTTTCCCCTACCCCAAAACCAACCCCTCCCAGTTTTCATCCTCCGAGCACCCACACCCTTCCTCACCCTCCAACCCCCATCCTCACCATGTAGCTATCCCACTGCCCTGCCATCTCGCAGCATTCCGCGGGCCGTGCACACAGAGGCCTATTGTGTGGGCTGGGAGACTGCAGGAGGCTATATACAGTCAGAGCACCAGAGAAAAGGCATGTGTAGGGCTGAACTGGGCTCAGTATTCCTGCTGTACTTTGAAACAGATCTGTAACTGAAATTGTGCTGGAAATCAGCGCTATTCCTGTAACATGAGTTTAAAGAGAGCTATATCAATGCAACACTGATGAATGTCAAATGATTGCTACACAGCTCTCTTCTGCGTTCGTGTTTGGAGGTTATACATACTCAGCACTTGTTGGATGCTGTAAATGGTGGCAGTAATTTCTCTAAACCACCAGTGTTGCTTCTCCTGGCATTGCATAAACACTTGATATTTATAGTTTTATCACTGGAGTTTGTTGTCTATGATTATGATTTGAGGGTTATTTAGAAGATGTAATATAAAAGACTCAGAGTTATTTTCTA